TGTTTAACATAAAACCAATTTCAAATATTTACAGGTCCCGATTTCTTGTGGCGTACAAGAAGTCTACGCAGTCTAAGAATAAAGTTTTTGAGGAATTATGTAACCTAGTCTCTTTCACTTCCTCATATCAACTCCTCCCTAAAGAAAAATGGTTTGTTTCACCATCACATACATTATATTATAACCACACGCTGAATTACCAATTAACTTCTTTATTAAATTAATTATTTTTAAAAGGTGTTGATATTCATGCAATGACGCTGGCAGAGGTACTAGCATTATTTTAGGGTTGTTTTCTGAGGTACGGCTAAGGCATACGGATTACTCTACCATTGCATACCACAATGAATGTATTAATTTCATTTTTTCTCTTGTTTTGTTTGATCTGTGGTCTGTACTATCGGGGAAAAATGAAATGCGAACAGAAGAGCGCGTGGCTCGCGGTACAGGCTGCGCCGCCTGGAAGTAAACCTAGGGGCGAGGGTGCGTGGCCTACTCCGATGTGTTCACGCCCCTCGATTGGCACTCCCCCAGCTTCGTCAGTGCGCCTCTCAGTGCGCTGAAAGCTGTCACCGCTATCTTTGCCTGCTCGGCGAGTGCGGCGAGCTTCTTTGCACCGCACGCGCTGAGCCAGCAAAGATAGCGGTGATAGCTTTCAGCGCACTAAGAGGCGCACTCCTGAAGCTTGGGGAGCGCAGAGGGAGGGGCGTGAACACGTCGGAGTATAGGCCACGCACCTTCGCCCTAGGCTCACTTCCAGGTGGCGCAGCCTGTACCGCGAGCCACGCGCTCCTCTGTTCGCATTGCATTTTTCCCCGATAGTACATTTAAAATAGTGTTCTTTCTCTCAATGTAGCTATCTTGTTCGTTTTTGAAATTGCTTGAGAATCACCTGCTGTAAAGGGGACCAGGACCACCGTCAAGCTACTGCAGCAGCTTTTTGTCTTGGTCCCCCGTTTCGGTGATGAAACACAATAGAGATTTATTATTATTATCATAACATTACCGGTTGCATTTCTGGGGCCATAATCATAGGATTGAATCAGAGATCTCAACGAACACTGACGCAGTACACGTTTTCGGGACGAGCGAAGCTGAATTCGCGCCGAACACTGACACACATCTCGTGTTAAAGTTAAATACATAATCATATTACGTGCAAAAACAATGGCGGACGCCGAGAGTCGGCGCAGCAACTGCTAGACGGCGCGCACTTCAAAAAAAAAGGGTCTGTTTTGCTCAGAGCTTACCTCGAAGATAAAAAAGCTTGCGCTAGCCACAGTCTTCATAAACATTTGCTGAAACATTGTGTTCATGCTGAAGAAATATTTTCAGTTATTTTGCTAGACAGTAGGCGTTATGTCTTGCGGCACACAACGGTTTTCAACAAAGGACGACGACGAGCACTCTCGCGCCAGACCGAGCTGTGGCTGCGTTGCCAGCCGAATGCATTTTAAGTTCTGTCTCCCATAATCCATAATTTCATTATTGTCGAGACCTCCTCAAGTTTCACTCGAGAGTTCGTCAGAAAGGATAGTCTGTGAGCGACTTCATTACGTCACTTCGGCAGTTAGCAAACTCCTGCGACTTTGACACTGTCTTCAACGACATACTTGAAGATCGGCTAGTCTGCGGAATCAGTAATAATATCATGCAGACCTGCATTTTAGAGGATACAGAACTACAGAACTGACTTTTGAAAAAAGCGATCAAGGTTGTCCTGCCATAGAAGCCGCGACAAAAGACTTCCAAGGAATTACGAGTTAGACTGGAACGACATCAGATGTCGAGACGAACCGCCTGTCAGCGCAGGCTGCCAAGCCACGATGCTTCCGTAGCAAGAAACCACATAGTTCAACCGCGAGTTGTTATGCTAATATGACATGCCAGAACTGCAAACAAAACTTTGAGAACATGATACCGCTTCAAGACAGGAACGAGAGAAAGAACGAGACAACACAATGCGCATTATGTTGTCTCGTTCTTACTCTTGTCTCTGTCTTGAAGCGCTATCATGTTCTCAAGCTACGGATCGAGATCTCGTCTTATCAAAAGAACGGGAAATGCTATGGGCCCCAGAATGGCAGCCCTATACTCAACCAAGACGCAAGAGCACAGCGTGCAGGTCAGCTGCGCGCTATGGGGTCCGAGAGTGGTCGTTCCCAGTCCACTGACACGAAGTGTGCTAGATCCTCGTCATGATCAGACACCCGGGAATCGTTAAAACGAAAATGGTCTTATGAAGTCACGTTTTGTGGCCTGGCATCAACGAAGACATCAAGCTAAAGGTTGAGATCTGTTCGGTGTGCCAAGAAAAACAGCGAGCGACGCCACCAATGCCAGCAACACAGTGGCCATTTCCAGAAAAGTCGTGGTCGCACCTTCAAGCCGATTTTCGAAGGCCATTTGAAGGACAATATTTTTTGGTCCGCGTGGATCCCCATTCGAAGTGGCTGGATGTGATCGTCGTTCTGTCACATTCAGCGGAGGCAGCAGTGAATTGGCTGCGAACAGTATTTGCAACGCATAGGTTACCTGACCTGGTTGTCAGTAACAAGGTGCCAGCATTCACAAGTTTCTTATTCTCGGAATTCCTGAAGAGGAACGGCATTCGGGGAATGAGAATTAAACCTTACCACCCTGAATCTAATGGTGCTGCAGAAAGAGCTGTCCAGACAATTAAGAAAACGTTCAAGAAGGCTTCGGTGGTAGACTTCCAGACAAAGATTTCACGTGCCCCCTGCAGTACCGCAGAACGCATAATAAAACTAGTGGACCCACACCTGCCGTGATCCTTATGGGATGGAGACTGCAGGCTGCAGGGAACTTACTGCATCCTGACGTCCGTTCTAAGGTTCTACTCGGACAGCTACAACAGAAAGAACGATAAGATCGCGGAGCTCAACGACAGCCGCCACTTAAACCCGGAGAACAGGTTTTGGCAAAGAACTTCCGATCGGGATCCTGACTGGGTTCTTTATCGCAGGTTGTTCTGGAAGATGGAACCAGTTGGCATCGCCAAGTAAAGCAACTTTGAAAACGAGTCAGTCTCATTGCTTTGAAGGACACGGCCACAAACATTCCACCAGAATTTGCTACATCGGAGATTCCGTCGCCGGAACCTGGAGCACCGGCATTCCAACAACGCCCATCGCCCGAGTTCCAAGTAGAGCTGACCGGCCCCAACTAAAGTGTCAACCTTCCTTTTGGAGCGTCGAGGGAGCCAGTGGTGATTCTGTGTTATGTATTGCGGCACACACCGTTCTCCAAGAAAAGACGACGAGCACGCTCCCGCCAGACCGAGCTGTGGCTGCGCTGTCAGCCGAAAGCACTCTCAGCAACTATTACGTCAAAATGTATACTCCGGAATTCAAATAAAGATGACCTTGGGAAAATAAGAAAGTTTGTTGGACGTTAGGTTGCTTACATTATTGTGTTCTTAATTTGTGACGTTCTGGGAATCTGAAGACGTTTCGTTAGCTCGTTCTTCCCTTCTCAGACACACCATTCTCCTCTCTTTCTCGTATTGAACAACGAACACTACTTTTTTTCTGAAAAAACATTGGAGACAATTGAAAAAACAAAGCGGACAAAAAATACACGGTCTTCGGGGTTTATCACTATGATCACCCACAAGTTCGCCTGCTCCATCTCCATTATATCTGTGTTTAGACGGCGTTGTGTTTTGTTATTTGCTTTCCCCTCTTTACCAGGGATTATCTTTAATCTTTAATTGCCACTGAGCGGGACAATAACATCGACCCTTCGTTATCAGAGATACAGTTGGAGGCACATGAGCTTCCAATTTCGCGCGTCCATGAAATGATACACTTGAGTGCGGAAATATATAAGAAATTATGGCATTGTTTCGTTTGCTTGCCAGTTCTATTTCTAAACCTAGCTTCTTTTGTTTGTCGACAGCACAAGGCCTAGCATCTTCTGTGGGACTTTCCTTAGAATTAAATTAAAACGACAACTGCGTAAAATTTGTTTAAATTCTGAGTGCGGTTCTTTATTATCTCACAATATAAGAAACCAAGCATCATCCCCGAATTTGTGCAACCAAGTCGATCCTTTCATAAATAAGAAAATTCCGACAAAGTAATTTTAAAAATATTGGCGATTGAGCATGCGAGCTAATTAGCGACCGTTCTGAAAAAAAAACAACAAAAAAACACACACACAAAAACCCGGACGCGAAGGAAAATAAAAAAAAAAAAATGGAACAATCACAACCGCGTCTCAAACAGTACCTGCTATTTGGCAGTGTATAAATGTGAAAAATTTCAAAACTTCTAAATGACAATTCGGTACATTTATATACACGGAAAGGATGACTTTCATGTTCGCTTCATTTATATCTATATGCGAAAGCATATGTACCTAGATATTCGGACGCTGGTGATTCCTCACAGAAACCTCTTTTTTTAGCTATTTCGTTGTTCATGCACCAGTCCCGACAACCACTTTGTAATATTTTTGTTTCAATTTCGTGTTTCACAAGTGAACCTTGATGACGCCTCAAAAGGCGAACTCTCCAGGTGAATGTTCGAAGAACATTCACCTGGAGAGTTCGTCGAAGAACGCGCGCAGTGCTCAATGAAGGCATCGCATTTACTCTTGTGGCTAGCTGGTGCAGAGATATTTACTCCCCGTAGAAATTACAATCGTGCTGCGATCGCCATTGGCTTGCAGTATTCCGTGTTGCAAGGCCGGCTGTGCAGGGACGTGCGCAGACACCAGATTCGCGTGGGAGGAAGCGTCTGGGCGTGTGCCGGGCCCACGGCGGCGCCACCTCTTCGTGTATAGAGAGGCTGTCAACATTTTCTGGATGTATTGTTATCAATTCTAATATATTCCTGCAATCAAGTGTTTTTTTTGTTTTTGTGGACGGGCGAATTTAGATTATCACCTGCCTCTACTTTATCACCGATAACGAAGGCTCGACGTCGTTGCCTCGCTGGATGTCAATTGAAGACAGTATAAATGGGCTCCAAAAAGCGCCAGAGCTTCACCGTTCGAGACCGGATCGAGATGAGTATCGTGAAGGCAGCGCTCCTTGTCCTCGGCGTCGTTTGTGTCTCCACGGCCTTTCCCGGGGTCTGGAGGAAACACCATCCGGACGTTGACCCCCGCTACAGGGAGTGGGCCCACTTCGCCATCTCTTCCCAGGTCGAGGGCAAGACCAACTACGACACGCTCATGACGCTCATCAGCGTCGAGTCTCAGGTATAATGTGTACAGGAGATGTTGACAGTTTCGGGTCCTTGTCTATAGAATAAAAAGCGGCGGTTCTGAAGCAGACTCGTAATCAACTAATTTTGAAGTAATTTTATAATCATATAAATATAATTATTAGGAAGTGTCGCAAAAGTTGCTACTTTTGAAAGTGGTAAAATTTCTCGAGACCGTTACTATTTGTCAACCCATTTCTACTGTCGTACCTTGATTGTACAACGGGAGGATATGGCTTACCAAAATTGATGAACTAACGAGATTAATAGATTATAGTTGGGTGTTTTTCATCCAATAACGGACAATAGGAAAGACCCGTCTTCAAGACGACTGTTAATTCTTCGAGTGCCGGCCAGTTTATTTTCTTCTCAATACTCAAGTAATTTAATTGGATACCTTTTAATCGAGAATAATTGTAATCGATTAGTATTTTCGGATAGTCAAGCCCCTGCGGTGTCGCTGCTGTGGGCACGGTGCATCCGCAGACGCTTCACCCCAATCTGCGAATGCGCAGTGCCCACTCCTGCGAAACGCGGCCTTGTCTGCAAGCAGCGCGTTGGTCTTTAACAGAAACACGCCTTGCAGCAAGAAACACTAAAAGTCACGAGTGATTACGGAACCGGTGGAATTTCTATTTGGGCTCGTATTTTTGTGCCAGCTAGCCGTAACATCAATTACGATGCCTCTCCATTGAGTATCACGCACGTTTATGAACTATTCATCGTGGGGATTGCATCTTTTGAGGAGTCAACGTCGTTCAGTCGTAAAACCAAAAGTAGAAAAAAATATATTATAACATGATTGTCGGGACAGGTTCATGTAATAACTAAGCTTTAACTAAAACAGGCTTTCTCTAATTTTAGTTTATCCACGCTTCTAAAGTCTTTGATTTTTGCTGGAGTCTGATTTTTCAATTTGCTGAAGACCTAAAAAAAAGTGGACTACTTTAATTTTGTAAGATGGTACTGAGTCTCTTTCTAGAGGAAAAGGTTTCAATGGGGAATCACCGGAATATGAGTTTCAAGATTCCCGTAAATGCTCCAGCGTAGAAGTATAAATGAAGCGGAAACCAGAGCTCTCATCATCCTTTCCGTGTGTATGAAAGTACCACTTTGTCATTTGGAGTTTTTCAACTTTCTCGTGTCTAGAAACCTGTCAAATAGGAGGATGTTGTGTTCGTACAATCGCAGGTAATTGCGGGTGTGGACTACAAGCTCAAGATGAAGGTTGCCGAATCCTACTGCGTGATTGGAGTGGACTCGTACAGCAGGGAGCGTTGCTACCTCAAGGTTGACGTTGTGAGTATGAACTAGATACTTTCATTCTGAAAGCGTCTTATTTCTGTGCATCTATAAACCATCCATCATAGGTAATTTGTGTCTCATTGTTAAAATAATTTAAAACTTGCAACTATATTTTCTAGTAAAAATGTTTAGTACTATACAACGCACGCGTAATGCGCTTGCTGACTTAATGCCATCACACGTTCTGTACCTTTACACATTACAAGCATAATCAACTACTTGTAATCGATTAATTTTCGAGTAATTTTCTAATAATTTGAGTATATTTATTAACAAGTAATTACATAAAAATATATGATTACTTTTGAAAGTACAAATATTATTTCTAACCGTTACTATTTTTTTCATCCCCTTTCTAATGGTGCCCTTTGTTTTTTACAAGTTTTCTTCCAAAAGTTCTCCGGAACGCAGTCTCCGAGGATAATTGACCGAAATTGTTGGCTTAAGAAGATACGTAGTTTATAATTTCATGACTCTATTCCAATAATAGACAGTACAAGAAGACACATTTTGAAACCGGCAGAAAAATCTGTCGATATGAAAATCTCAAGTAATCGTAAAAGTACCACTTTCGTTTACAAGCAGAAGCCCATTTCTTGTCTTCTCAGGTAATCTGGGAATCTGATTGAATACTTTTTAACCAAGCGTATAACAGTACTTATCATTGATTATGTTTTTCGGATAACGCGTACAATACTGCATGTGGGATGGCAACAAAGCAAACCGGACATATGTAAGTTTTAGTAGATGGTTCCGATAACGATAATGATAACCCGATACCAATGCGATGCCCTTGTCGAGGTGCCGAAGGGGTATCGCGTATCGTTATCGGAGTCACCGGAACGATATACGAGCTCCATTTAAACGTATTCTGCGATCAGCTGTCTTCCCCCGCTATGAGCGGAGGGTCCTAATTTTTGTTTCGGCCCATCGTGCTTGGCCTTTCAAGTTGCGATGTCTTTCTCTACTTTTTAGCCTTACATGCTGTGCACAGCCGTGGTCAACTATATGCCCTGGGAGCACAGAACCAGCCTCAAGTCATACGACTGCAGCGACCGTGTCTACGGTGTGAAGCGAGCTGAATGATTGGCGTGAACCAATGCAGAGAGCAAGTCGTCTGCTTCTTGTTCAGGAATTGCGTTGACGTCAGAGTGACGCCAAACTCTGATTGGCTTTGGTTGAAAGGATAGTGGGTAGACATTAACGCTAGATGCCTCGAGGTGTACCCACTATTTTTTTTTTCAATCAGCCAATAAGAGCTTGGTGTCATTCTGACGTCACCACAACCCGTGTGCAAGAAGCAGACGAACTTGTCCTCCGCAGAACACCTAGAAGACGAGGTCCGGTTCTTTTACACCCCGAAACGTCACCACTGGTGGATCCTCGCAGCACCGCTTAGTTTGCGTCAGCATCCCCACCAGCGTCTCTTGCAGCGTCTCGCAAAGAACGCGACGCTCCCAGGCGGCGACGCAAAGTCGAGTTTTAGCGTGTTTGTCGCTTGGGGCGAGTCGGGGATCTATTAATGATGACATCATTGGCAGGCCTCGTCTTCGAGGTGGTATTGCAAGCACGCTTTCATTTGTCACCTCTATATTGGAGACACCGAGGAAAGTAAATAAAATGTCCTTTCTGAAAAGAATGTTAACGGTTGACGCTTTTCTTTTTTACCGAGCTTGTGGTTGCTCTCATAGCTTATAGCGACCTATAGTTTTCACATTATTTGGTTGCACTCCATGCAAGGTGAGCTCAGAAGTATTTGTTCTTTAGTACTCACGATGTGTTTTAATGGGAGCTTCCAGGTGTGGAGAAAACCCGTGATTGCACACTGGTTGAGCGATAATTTCTCCAAAAACAACATGGCTGAAAAATTATATTTCATCCCGCGGTTTAGATCAGTAAATTTCGCCAAAGGGAAGTTCAACATATTTTTTTTTCTTGTTTGCATTTTACTTACGTAGTAAATAGGTCCGTTCAAAGAGCATCATCCTCGCCTTCCACCTCCTATTCGCCATACCATTTATGTTGTCGAAGAGACACTCCCTTCCTTTGCCAAAGAAAGACTGGGTCCGCGCCGTTGTAAAATTCTTTGCCGCAAACCAACTCACGTGGAACTGCAGGCCTGGATGCAAGTTTACACAGATGGCTCAACCAATCCCGCCACAGGAACTTCCACCGTGGCCGCTCGTCGTCCCTAAGAACGCATTGAGAAATACATGTGATTTAACTTTGCGACAATCTCAACAACAGCAGTGCTAACGGCACTGGAAGCCGCATTAGACGTGCTTGTAGACCTTCCACCTGAAAGGGCGGTCTTGCTGTCAAACCCAAGAAGCGCACTTTCAAAACTAAACCGCTTGGACAAGGCTCCCCCACTGGCCGATCAGTTGCTCGCAAGGCTTACTCTATCAACCCAAGGCTAGGAACTCAATAAGTTATCAATATCTTGTAAGGAGCGCACCGTCAAATGCTCTGGAGCTCTGTTTCTTTCTTGGGAGATTTGAGAAGTGCCCTCAAGTCAACCCCGCTCCTGGTAGAAAGAGCTAGAGCTGGGAAATATAGACTCTTTTCATGGCAAACGTTACCAGGTGGTGCTCCAGCCTTTGACGCCCCAGAAAACTTCGTGTTCTTAAATATAATGAACGAAACCCACCCTAACACCGCTGCTTGAACTCTTGAAGAAGCGTTTAGCCCCCAATTCTCCAGGTGAACGCCAAAGGACGAAGAAGCGCGATATGTTAAAAGTTTCGAATATTCTTGTAAACCAACTTGCCTCCTCCAAGACGTTAAATTGCACAGTCAAAGGCCCTCGTTAAATTTCCAACTTTGATGCATGTGTAGCATTTATGCTTTCTAGCACTAGTGGCATAAGCAAGCTCGACAGGCTTCTAAATGCGGAGCGACGGGAAGTCGTTTGGGACGCAAATGGCGGGCCATGTTTATAAATAGTAAAAGGGTCTATACGTCCCCTTGAAAGCCTGATATTACTGATAAACGCTCACCAAAAACACTTGACATGCATTCTTAATTAATCACGCCGATTAAATTGGATTAAATATGGCCACCCCGTAAGACGCTTCCGGTGGCGCTAGTTACCCTATTTTCTTTGGGGGGCGGGGGGGGGGGGGGGGGGAGAGTTTACTTCTTCTTAAAACAAACCGCAAACGTGATTTTGATGGTTTATTAAGGGTTAAGTTAAAAAATCTGGCCGTTGGGCTTCTTTCGCGTTAAAATCAACTCTTGCACTGAAAAAACAGCGAGGCCCAATAAATTGGCGTCTCATTTAAAACAATACCATACAGCGCTCACGAAGGACACTTTATTTTACCTGAAAGAGGGCTCTCGTGACACCCACACACAAAAGCAAGAGAAAGCCCCCCTGTGACCTATCAAGTTACATACCTATTCTAATCACTTCCATCCTTTGCTTCACAATTAAACGGTCCGTCAACCATCATCTTTTTTACTATCTAGATAGAAGACAACGATGTGCTCTCGGCCTCCCAGCTCGGGTTCAGGCGTAAACGCAGCTGTGAAACTGCTCTGGCCACTGTGACTCACTGTGTGAGTTTTAACCTGAACAGCCGCCTCCCCACAAACGTTATCCAGGGCACCCTCCACCAATCAAACACCAATACGTCACTTCCATGGCCTTTTAAAATGTGCATGTATATGTCTAACCTAGCCCTCCAGCTCGATCTACGAAACGCCTTGGACACATTAGGCCACTCTGTCCTTCTCTTGAAGGTTGCTCCTTCAGGTGTTTATGGACCTCTTCTTCTTTGGGTGAGGCGCTACGTCGCTGATCGCTCCTACCGTGTGCTATTCCACGGCCAAGCATAAAAAAAATTTGCCTGTCCTATCAGGGGTAGCTGAGGGTACTGTCCTGGCATATACGTTATTCATCCTGTACGTCAACGACATGCCGAACTCCTCAGGAAGTCTGCTTGGACAATACGCCGACGGCACCGTAATATTAGCCCCTACATCGTCTCCTTCTTTTACAGATCTCCAGAGCCACCTTCAACTTGTCGATAGCTGGGCTCTCTCCAACCATCTCAGCGTAAGCACTGAGAACAGTGCCGCTATGCGCATATCTAGCAGCAGAGTCACCGCCTGACACACCGCCATGATCGGGCAATCCGCCAGTTGCAGATTCCCCGAACGAGGCTGTCCAGTCACTTCCTATCATGGGCGTTACATTCACTCCATCTCTAGACTTCTCCACGCACATCGGAGACACAGTGGCAAAACACCGACGCACATTTCGCTTCGTAACACAGATATTAAGATCATGTGGCCCTGAAGCCCTGCAAGTGCTCAATACTGCCCTGGTACCACCGAGGTTGGGGTACTACAGCTCCGTCTGGTCTCCTTCCCAGGCTCACCTCACTTCCAAACTCGAAGGCATTTTAGCGTCGCGCGACTCGGACTCCTCACTCCCGCCTTCTTCATTTGCGGGAGCCTCTGCCACTGTACGGAAAGAGACTAATGGCACTCAAATGGCAGCCACTTCAACACAGAAGAATTGTGGCACGTGATCGACTCCTCCACAGGCTTCTAGACGGCTCCATGGATGGTGCCTACCTGCACTCATCGGTTAGGCTAGCTAAGCGAACCAAACACCCCTGTTCTCCAACACGCACAAACTGTCCGCCACCGACACTTTGTGCTCTTTAATGTCATCGAAAGCTTTCTCGTAACGCCCTCCTCTGCCCGGACTCACCTGCCTCAAAATCTGACTTAATCAGCCACTCTTGTCGTGCGTTTTTACTCCAGCATGATATCACCTAACATTCTCACCCGTGTTTTCGTGCTAGGCTTTCTGCGCCGTTTGGGGTAACGTAGCGTATTTTGGGGGGAGGCTCGTGGGTTGTCGTCGACTTCCGGCTGGGATTCTTGCTTGAACCGGATGCAAGTGCCAGCCCGACTGTGCGAGGCGCCTGCACTTAACTACTTAGTTCGTGCTTCGCTCTCTACTGCCCTGGGTGGAGCTGGGTAGTGGTGTAACAAGAAAGGGGAGGGGGGGGGGGGGGTCTGGGATTTGGAAATCACGAGCTCTCCTATATTCTTTTTGTAAGTCGTGATGTAATATTACAATGCCCAGCAGTGGCATTTGGAAGGATGAGTTACGTGGTTTCGTCCAGAAAAGACCCACAAACCTGTGTGCCGTGTCTTGTGCCTCCAGTTTATCTTAGAGCTGCTGTGGTGGTTAAAACGTCGAATATGAGACCGGAAGGCCTAACAGTGCTGTCGGAAGTGTTACAAGGGGCTGTTCAGATCACAGTGCCGGCCCAGGTTTTACAGTTGATCTGATTGGTTTAACAATACGGCTTATTCATCTGCACATTTAGAATGTATCTTATAATACATATTAAAAATTCATGACTTAAGCATGCAATAAGAAGAAATAGAAAACTGCAAGCAATATTACCAATATTATCAAAAATCAGAAATATAAGTCATAACGTCTCACTTTCACAAAAAAGCAAAAAAAAAAAAAAAACACGAAAAGAAAAAAGCAGTCGTCAGTATTGTGCGTCCTTACACTGACTGGTTGACACCAGTTTAAGTCAACAGCTTTCTACACATCCAATCAAAGCCGACGCCGATCGATGCAGAGAGACGATATAACGTTCTTTTGGCTGAGAGGGATGTCTCAGTGAATCGTCAGGGGCGATCTTGGGACGAGGACGATTTTATATATGTCTCCATCTTTCACAGAGTTGAAAACGAGCGCTGCGGTTCGGGTGTGCTAACAGACAGGGTTACCAGGGTTCGAAATAGTTTGTGGATGTTTGGATCCAGGGCGTTCGCGCAAAGAGACATCGCCAGCACTGCAGAAACGTGCAAAGCATCGTGGTACTTTCACTTGTGAGGCCAAAGAAGAAATTCCCCGGGCAGCTCGTTTCAGGAAATGAATACCCCATAGAGGCTATCGATTTTGTCTACATAAGGTTCTTTCTCCCCTTTGGAGACGTTTATGGGGAGTACGGCTGATAGGAGTTCAAGTTTTCTCTTGTGATTATTGAATCGACCTTTGAGCTGTACGAGAAAGGGGTCAATGAAGAGGAAAAATACACGAGGCTTAAGTACTCATCTACGGAAGTCGCCGGGAAGTTACTACGGTGTTTCTAGCGAGATGTGACTCGGAGTATTTGGAGAGTCAAGTGAACCTTATCGCAAAGCTCCCTCGCCGATTTTTTAGGGCTCTCACTGAGCATGAATCTCGCAGCACGACGACAGCGGCCTCAACTTATCGATGTGTGTGAGATGGCTTGCACCAAGCCAGCTGAAGCGGATGGGAGTTGTCTCGACAACTGAAGGGTAAGGGACAATAGCTGAGCACAGCCCATCTACTGCCACTGACCTTTCGTGTTAGCTCGTTTTGCCGAGCTTATCGTTGCGACACCGACAAAAATTTAAGAACTAATACGAGGCACAAAATGGTGAACAGGTTTTAAGAACACGGGTCAACTGGAGTCACTAAATGAGCTACGCTAAAGCCGGGGTCAGAGTGCTCATACATCCAACAAAATACAATCTTCCAACACGAGTCACCGCAATGTATGTGCTTCGAATGCCGCGTGCCTAGTTTCACCCTGAACTCGTTGTCATGCGGCGTTCGAAGCAAGAATATCTGGGTGACTCGCGTTCAAATTAGTATGCAGACTTTCGTTTGTAGGATGTATAAGCAGTGTGACTACGGCATAACCAAACGTGCCGTACGTTTTTTCTGGCAATCGTCGCTGTCATCATCCTCCCGCCAGAGCCGTTTATTGAGAGAGTTTGGCCATACATTGGTTTGAATAGGCGAGCATCTCGGGGTCAACCACAGGCCGCGAAACAGCCCCTAGCGGTGGTGGTCGTGTGCTCTAAATTTGTGTCACGGCTAATTTAAGTCGTTTTAGCGAAGCTATGGTGAAAAGGTTTAGCTCTCGGTGACTGAAAACTTTGCGCATGTGAGGTTTTCGTCACGCCAAAATTCAAGTTTAGAATAAACAAACGTGCGCTCCAAACCAGGGCCGACTTGCTACAAACAGCGTCTCAGCTGAGACGGAGAAAGAAAGCACTGCCAAAGCCAGCGCACGAGCCGAGCGGGACTCCGCGTCTCAAGACGCTCGCGCGCCCCACCCTTTGCGCTGCTTTCTTTCAGCCAGTTGCAGCTGTGACGCTGTTCTAGCAAGCCAGTCCAGAGCAAACTGTCACCGATACTCCATCTGCACAAACATCAGCAGTGCAGACAAAGGCATGGGCACGAGCGCGTGGCTTTGGAAAGTGCCTCCTTTGCACGAGTTCTCGTACAAACCAAAGCGTTTCGCTGCGCTAGGCTCACGCGCCTGTGCCTTTGCCTTTACTGCATACATTTGTGAGAGGGAGTAGAGACGCCGAGACTGAACGCTTCTATTTCAAGCTTTAAAGGTCGTTTGCAATATTGTGACGTCGCGGTCTCCTGATTGGTCGACGCTGTGTCGTACCTTTAGTTTACGCTCTAACCGCGCTGGCGGCGGCCTTTGCTCCGCCCCCATTGTCCAAACTCTCCTAACACACGGCTCTGCCTCCCACGATTGTCAAAACGTAGCGGCGAGATGTTTCGGTGGCGCCCTCGTTCGGCTACCTTCCGTGACGTCATTACCTTGTGAACAACAAGTTCGATGGTGTTTATAATGAGCATGGTGAACGCCTGAAATCATAGTGTTCTCAAAGCAACACTGCCAACAGCGTCAAAATTGAGTTCTTACATACCTCTTATTTCCGTCGATGAAACATCCTTTGCTGACGTCATAGTCAGCATTGGGCCCATTGTGGTGGGCCAACCATAGCGACGCTTCTGGTCGCTCACGTCGCCAATGGCGTCTAAAGTAGGATTAGTTTTACTCTCGTCGACGGGAATAAGAAAAAAAGTTAGACTCTCAACTTTGAGGGTGTTGATTTAGGAACGTGATGACTAGGCTTCCTCCGCGCGTTTTACGCACCATCGAACTTGTCGCTAGTCGCTACTAATCATATCGGCCGTGACGTCAGGGATAGAAACCATAATAGATCGCCTGCAAAACAAAGTGTCGCTAATATACGTGGGCTGTAGAATAAGCGTGTGACGCTCTACCTGCCTCACTAAATAAACTAGAAGATCGGTGTTGCTGCACTGTCAAGTAGCTTCTCTTGAGTCTCTGCATGCAGTGCGTGCCTATATGAGCGTTTTGGTTCTGCCATTTTGGACCAACTGAGCTCTAAGGTCTTTTTCTGCATCCACCCTCGAGTCCGCACTGTTGCCTCTTGATGTCTGCTCTCTCGCCACTGTTGGCTGGCCCATTCTGTTTGTTTTAAACTTTTATCCCCTCGACGTACATCTAAAAAAAAGAAACGACTTATAACGCGGGCCCAGGCGGTCTGCTGCCCTCCTTCTTTTTCCTTCATTGAACTGTAGTTCGTCCATGGTCGTGTCCTCGCCGTGCAGATCTTTGCTGAGGTTAATGTATGTTGCCCTCAGCTCCGGGAAAAGGTATCCAAATTTGACATTTCAAAGCGTGGCTGCTGCCTGAACAGCCTTTTCGTTCGACGTAACCTCGAGCACAGCACAGGTGGTCAGGACATCATCCCGCCGCGACCACGTGTTCAGCAGGCTACTCATAATTTCTTCTGGTTCCTCGCATCAAATCCTTAGTGCCAACATTGAATGGGTATAAACGGCGTACCGGTCGTGCTTGTAGATGATGATAATACGGCTTTTTTTCTTTGTAGCGGCCAAGCTCTAAAATTCTTCACTAACACAAACTGTAAAATAAGTTTATAAGATGATTATCTTCCATTCTCTAGAATCTTTCTCCACTAGTGTTCCAGTCTTGTTTTCGTTGTCTGCACGCACAGCACGCACGGCCCGTTTTCCTTTCTCTACGTTGTTGGGACGCCTGTGCTGGTTGTGCAGGCGTTTTCACTGACTTCGTCGGTTGCATTTCCTGGATTTGGTGTCGTTATCGAGAAACCCAGGGCGTCTGGTAGCACTTTTTTGGATGGAAGCTGATGGAGGTCCATCGGGCGTGGCAGCAAGCGCTCACAAACAACGATTCTGTATCCGCTGGACAAAGTGGCCAACTAAATAAACTGAACTATTTCTGGATACACGGTTCTGCATCCGTCCCATTTTGCGGAGCTCTGGAGAAGCTGTGCTACACTCTCCTTCTCCCGGGCAACCGATAGTTTGGAAAGGCCGGAGGAGAGCTTTGCGCGCCGAGAATCTCGGGGGCCATGATGAAATACGTATGTTTCAAAGCACAGCGTCTAGATGGCGCTTCACAGTACTCTACGATAAAACATGGACGACATGTGGGGAGGGAGTCGAAACGCCAGAGCATGTCACTGTGGAGTGTGCGGGGGCTCGGCCACCCAAGAACATCACGCGAAGAGGCTGACTTCCTCAGGGCTCTGGGATTCGATGAGAACGGTGAAGCTAACCGTTTCCAAGAAGTAGAAATCAGTGAAGGGAGCTTAGAGGAAGGGCGGCGAAAATCAAGAGACGGACAGATTAAGTTTGATTAAATTGACTCAGTGAAAATTTGGCGTGGAACTAACAGCACTGCTTAGCTAGGTAGAGCAAGTCACCGCCCGATACAAAGGGGATAGCCGCCATCTATTCACCTATTCATGGTACTCTACGGGACACACAGTTTTGAACGATTTCCTTCAAACGACGGGAGACGGAATAACAGGAGTGAGGGGGAGGGGGGTGCTCCCATCTGCGAGAGTTCCAGAACTGACGTAATCTAATAACGGTGGGGGGCTTGGCGGCCATAGCTGAGTCAGCGCATGTTAATGGCGAGCTTCCACAGAGCTTTTACAGCGTGCATTCCGCACCACCAAGATTTCTGGTCTTGGGAACCTACCATTGTGAGCTCTTTCTAAACGTGCACAGTGAACAGTGCACTCAAATATGGCGCCTAGTGTGTATATGCCATTGGTATATGCATCAAATGAGTAAAGCTTGGTTAGCAACGTCCGCAACTCCGCTGATACCAGCTTCTACGCGAGTTCGGGCAGCATTTTAAAGGCATTGTCATTTGCCACTATGTAATTTATACTCCGTGTATGTGCAGCATCAGGGGGGCTATGTTGCACATTTTGGACTCCCAGGAGACTAGGGGGAAGGAAGTGACGTAGGTGTGAATGAACGTATCTTAGCAGCACCACGCAAGGCGTCATCAGCGACTCCACTAATCAACATCCAAAGAGCGTTGTTGACGTCACTTCCTTATTCCTAGTCTCCTGGGAGTCCAAAACGTGCAACATAGCCCCCCTGATTTACTTGACACTATATATCCTAATCCAAAATTGTTCCGCCAACATGTCTGCCAAGGAATCGTTGAATTTGAATATGCATTACATTAGCGTTAACAAAAAAGAACAAAACATTATGCCATTACTGTTTTGTCTTAATCAGAATAAAATGGGAACGACAGGTTCTATTTCGAAACACCCGGACGTGAAGCCAGTGTTTTCTCCGCATAAACAAACATGTTGCGAAGGGAGATCGTTCCCGACTAAAAGCTCCAGAAGACGCCAGCTGGAAATAGGACAAAACAGCCATTTAAATACACTAAGGTCAGCGTACCTGCGGCACGAAATTGTAACAACAGATACACGATGACATTGATTGAGTCCGATGCGATAGCCGACTCCGCCGACACACACATCCGCGTGGCCGGCTGATAATCTCCTGGCAAATGCAACTTTGCACTGTAGGTCACATGACGTATACGGACAGTGAACAGGTGGTTTTTCGTACAACCTCGTAGGGAGGCGTCCTTCGCTTTCATATTTCGTTATATGTATGCTTACTTCTAACATCACTTACCCAGTGAAGCAAACATTGTTTATCATCTCTATCTCAACAGCGGCAAGTACCGCCTCTATAGGAAGAAAACCGCCGTGTTATCTTATCGCGCTTTATTCACGCATCGAAGGAGCTGCCCCGTGCGAGTTTCTGGCAGCTGGCGCAAACTGTCTGATATAAAAGTGCTCAGAAGATTCCCCGACGCATCGACTTCAAAGCCGACGACAACGAAGACGTTAGACAAGATGGGCGTGTTCAGCACCAGCGTGGTCCTGCTGAGCTTGGCAGTCTGCGGTACCCTGGCGGGAAGATCGCTGCCTGGTGGCTGGAGGTCGAGGGACGTCTACAGCGATCCCGCGTACGCCGAGCTGGCCCACTACGCCGTTTCGAGCCAAGCGGGGGACAGCGAGTTCTATGACACTGTCCTGGAGCTCTTAGAAGTGGAGACTCAGGTCAGTTGGTGCTCCTGTTCTTGGAGTTCTTACTGAGGTAACCCATGAATGGCTTATGGCTGGCTCACGCACTTGCGACTGCTTACGATTGTGTCCCTTAAAGGCCCGCTTCAGACGGAGCAATTTTCCGCTGCAACTTGACGTCGAAACACAAGCAACACCCCGCGTTCAGACGCAGCAATCGAATTGCTGCGCATCGGCATCATCATCATTACATTTTAATTTTTTTACAAGGGTAGAAAGTTGGGCCAACTGGTGATTTACGATATTTAAAAAACGCAACGAGACACAAACGAGGGAGATATAAAAAGACACAGCGCTAACTTACAACTGAACTTTTCTTGCACTATTTAGACACACAGTTGCGCGCTGTAAACGTGCTTTTATATACTTAAATGACGTTGATAATGTACCAACTCAACGTTTTGACATTATTTATTCCCAAAATCAATCAAATCCAAACCGGAACCAAGGTAAACTTAAGTTAAACCCCGTCCTAAGTTGTCATCCTCATCGCCACAGGGTTGTTACGTGACAATATTGCGTCCCTGATTGGATGCTTCCGCTTCCAATGTTTCCGAGTTGTTCTAGTTGCTCGTCCGTTTTAAAAGCCCGACTCCATTCCAGTAATTCGTGTTGTAGAGCCAGGATCTAGGAAAAGCTAGGGAAGAACTTTAGTCAATAGAATAGAGCAGTTCTAGATGGAAAGGCGCCCTAGAAAACTAACAACGATAGAAATATACACGGGCCCTATTTTCTCATGGGGGGCCTCCTCGGGTTCCCACCACCTCCATTAGATTTGACCAATAAAACAATTAAATGCGTAGAGATTCCGAACGTCATGAGAGTTGCTAGTGTACGGTTTGCTATGTTTTTATTTATTGTCAACGGATGCGTTAGTTACTTCTTTCTTATTTGTCTAATTTATCCCACCTCACAAGACCTGAATCTTCTATTCATATCCGACGCAGAGAGTTCTGGAATGTGCCTCATCTTTGTAAGAATTAAAGCGCGGCAGTTAACTGCTCATGGCCTGCCTAGGTCACTTAACAAGTTTATTATATACCGCATTAATATTCACTGTTTAAGACAAAACGATATAGGCGCGTGTTTTGTTCAGACATATTATATTGCGTAGTGTTTTTTTATTAAAATGCAGGGACACCAGACCCAGTCAAGTTACCTTGTGGACGCTTTTTGTCTGGTGTTCTCAGCACGGTAGTGCTGGAACAAAGAAGTTTAGGTTCAAATGCTCTTTTTAGGCGCGTTGTGCATTATATGATATATCTTGACAAAGTCGTTATACATTTGCACATAGGAGACGTAACGCAGCAGTTATTGTTTGAAAATGCCATCTGACGGTGTCCACTGTTGTGTGCTCCAAGACGCAGAAAGAAGGGCGCGACAGAAGTTTTGATTAGATATTAAAAAAGGAAACTTGGGCCCCCATAAGTTTGACTTCGGTTTCTTTACGATTATTAGAGCTCGTGGATTGGGTTAACACCATAGGCAGAATATATCAAAATCCACTTGGGTGCGCCTTTAAAATCTATTTCGACTAGGAAACACATGGCGTTGTCTGTCGACTAACACTCGCAGTTTCCGTTCATAATTTTTATTATTTCGCGCCTTATTATACTTTTTTGACAATGTTATAACTGACAATGTTATTATAGATATATGTACATACGTTTGACATCACAAATAGCGCAAAACCTTTGCTCTAGCGTTCTAGAATCACCCGATAGATGACGCCAGCGTTCCAGCTAGTCCTGTCGTCGTAAGAAATCACAACAGCCCAGTCCTAAGCAAGGGCAAGTGTGTGAGCGGGGCTTAAGCCGCAATCACACTGCTTATAGATCATACAAACGGCAGTCTGCAAACAGATTCGAAAGCCAGTTACGACGAGATACGTGCTTCAAATGCTGCACGGCAACGAGTTCAAGAAGAAACTTGGCACGCGGCACTCGAACCACGAATCCCGCGACTGATGTTTGCAGACTGTATTTTGCATGATGTTTTAGCAGTGTGACCCTGGCTTTCGAAGTTGCATTTAAAGTTTCAATAAGATGCTTAGCATCCTAAGTATTTTTCTTAACGAAATGTCATCTTCCAGTATGAGGCTTCCTGGAGGTTGTTGTAGATTTCTTCCTTTCTCAGCTTCGACTATCTCTACGATCGATCTGTTCGTACTAGTCATAGAATATAAATTTCCGTAGATTCAATCGCCGCCACCGACGATATGGATACTTAATGGTTTACGCATAACGCTCTTAGGGGCGACAAAGTAAAAACGGCCAACGATATGCTTACCGTACAACACTGGGCACTCAGATAATATAAAAAGTGCAACTTTAATTTGGTGCTAAGCCGCTGAAACCACTTCTCGCTTCAAAAACCGGCTGCATGATTGTGATTTCTGGCATTCCAGGTTGTCGCTGGAATGAACTACCGACTCAAGTTCAGCACGGCTGAGACTGCCTGCAAAGTCGGAGTGGATGAATATTCCCGGGAACGCTGCCTGCCAAAAGTCAATCTGGTTCGTATAAGTACTCGTATGCTAGCTGTGTCTTCGCGTTCTAATGTAAAATCAGTTTTGCCGCAGCCAATCGGATCTAAATGAGAGGTGCGCTCCTGTAGCCTCCGACCCGTAGTGATATTCTCTTTGACGTTGACTGACGACAAGACGTCGGATTTAGGAAAAGAAACTCGCAATGTGTAGAATAATAGAACAGACCGGAACGCTGCTTACCATAGTCACGGGCTCTGCATTCTTAGATATTTTAAACCAGTAGCGGGAACACTGTAAACAATCTGGAGTGCCGTCTTTCCCACGAAGCGCTCGGACAGCCAAACGTGGCAATCCAGGGTGGGACATCGGCGGAAGACGAGGTTGCTGGTGGGGGTGCGCGAATACCGGTTCAAATGTTCATTGCATTCACAATGGGTGGGGGTCGGCGACTCTGCCCAGATAGCCACGTGTGGAAGTAGCCTGCTCACTGGGTTATAAGTAATCCTATAATGCACTCACTCCTGTTCACAAGGCAGAAATACTGCTTCCTTCGATGGATATGCCATCAATACTCCGTTTCACTCGAAGAGTGAGCGTAGCGGAAGCCTCAAGTGCGAGCTCCGGGTTTCCAGCGTCCATACCAAGCACGCGCTCTCGTGCAGTGCAAGCACTTTTCAGGGCCACATGCTCGCGCTTGTAGCTTCGGCCTCGCTTGCGCTTATGTGGAACGGAGTGTAATAAATGCCGTTGCATGGTGACATCTACAACTCGACATGTGAATCTCATCTAATCAAATCGGCCATTAGAATAAAACAAAATCAAAGATTCTGACAGCCCACGACCGAACACAGTTCATACCCGACGGCGAATTCAACTGGTCGTGTTGGAGCGCGCTGGGATCGACTTTTCTGCAACGTGCCTTTCACTGGGGGCGATTTGGGATCGAGGCGGACGTGTTTCGCCACTCGTCGTCTTGGATCAGCTCCCATTCCCGATCTCGATCTGGGTCCGAGAAAAGTCCGACCGGAAGCCAGCCTGGCCAGCCATCGGCGCGCACGCGATACTTCCTTTCTCGCCGGGCATCTCGCCGGGACCGCGGAAAGGGGATTCCCGGAAAGGTGAATGACGGGAGGCATCTCGGAGGAGCGGTCACGTTCAACAGGAGATCCGGGGCGGAGCGACTCCGTTAGGATCGCCTGCTCCATCTCGGAACTAGTCTACTGATCCCGGCCCACTCCAAAACTACCAGTGGAATTCGCCATAAATAACCCCTCAACCCTAAAGAAAAAAAAAAAAATATATATATTTTTTTTGTTTGAAGTTTAGCCAATAAGGCGAGTGACGCGCCCAAACGGCCAAAGAAGCCCCTCCCCTCCCCTCTCCGCCCCCCGCCCCCCCCCCCCCCCCCCCCTGGACCCCCTTCTTTCCGTTGTTTTCTGTTTTTTTTTTTTTTTTGCAAATTATGAATATTTGTTTTGTCCTGATTTACACGACGCTCCTCATTGGCTTAACGTCTTAGAGGGGGAACGATGAATGGTGTTTCCAGCGTGCCGTTGTCGAGTGCACTTCCACGGTTTCTGAGTGCGTCGTGATTCGCTGCAATGCCTTTAGCGCGAGGTGTAGATTCTGGGAATTCTCTCGAATTCCCAGAATCTACACCATTGTACTCGTTTCGGAGAATGACACAACGCACTGGTTCAACAGCACGTCGTCATCTATTGACCACTATCGCCCGCGCCGCGATTCCAAGACCTCGAGCATACTTCTGCGTCGGCCTTTTATCAGCAGCGCCGCTCGCCTGGCCTAAAGCCCCTCGATGTGTTTGCGCTCGTCTTGCAAGTGGCGTCAAATGCGCGAGCGCACGAGGCCCATGTCTCGAGTGGCCCTTGGAAGCAAATGGCGGCGCAGCACTGAAATGAGCGGGCCTTGGAAGCGAATGGCGGCGGAGCACCTGCTCATGGCACGTGTCTCGAGCGCTTCCACAACAATGGTTGGCGGTACTTGTAAAAAACGCTTTTATCACGGGGCTTTAGCCTGGCCGATTACACTTCGCCACCTCGTGGTACAAATCACGAGATACGATTTAACAAACGGGCAACCTGGCCGAACGCTGCTGATCACCAAGCTACACAAGAGATAAGGAGAGACAGTCCGTAATGAAATACTCCGTATCGAAGACGAGCGCTTTTTGATGATACAAGAGTCAAAGAAAGAATAAAAACACTTAGGGACAAGGACAGACGGCACAGTTCTTAGGGACAAGGACAGACAGCACAGTTCTGAAAGAACTGTGCTGTCTGTCCTTGTCTCTAAGTGTTTTTATTCTTTCTTTGACTCTTGTATTTTTACCAACCCGCTCTTTGATCTTTGGCTTTTTGATGGCTACGGCAGACCGTATAGTTAACGACAGATTCATTAAGGAAAACAGACACGCTAATTCACGTTCCTTGCATCGTGATTCGTGCTTTGGCGCTCATATTGGCTAATGTCGCAATCTCATCGACTACTGTTCTTAAGTCGTCAGTGACTGCAGGGATTCACAAACCTAGTATCAGGATACCAAGTATCTGCTGCTATCAATAATTCGACTCACTTCTAACATATAGTTTTTTTGTTTGTTTTTTAAAGCTTTACAGATTTTTTTTTTAAATCCGTGAAAGTTGCATTTTATGCGGTTTGTGCAGGTGAGTTATACGGCCAGGTGGACATAGTATAGGGGGCTAATCGTAACGATTAGACAGCTAATTTACTAAAATTCGTTTATTAACTTTTATTTAATAAAAATAGACATATGGTTCTAATTAGTAACTTGCTTCGAGTCATCAACAACCACTAAATCAGTAATTTTCAGAAAAAAATTTGAGCGCGTGAGAAGCGTACTAGTGCACTAAAGTTACCACTCGTAGAGCAGGTACAAGGCTAGCGGTTGCGGAACGCGGATGGCTAGATTATCATCGCGTTCCGCCACTGCTAGCTTTGCGCCTGCTTCACAAGTGGTAACTTTGGTGCGGCCCCGAGTTTCCCACGAGCTTCAAGTCGTTCTCAAAATAGTTCATGTAGTAGTTTTCGATAACGCTCAGTAAGTTTCTAATTGGAACCATATGTCGATTTTCATTAATTAAAAAAGTTAATTAACGAATTTTAATTAATTAGCCGACTTATCGCAAAGATTAGTCACCAACATAATGTCTCCCTGGCCGTATAACTCACTTCCACAAGCCGCATAGGTGTAACTTTCACGGCTTTTTTTAAACAAACCTGTAAAGCTTAAACAAAACAAAAACTTTATACCGAGCTATTGTCCTATTTCAGCCCAAGGCAACCTGCACTGCGGTGGTGTACGAGCGCCCCTGGCAAAATCACCGTGAAGTCACAAGTTACGAGTGCGTTTGAGGATGGGCTTCATTCGAACACGACTCCAAGTGAACATTCATGCAGTGGTGCATAAAAAAAACGGTCTTGGAATTATTAAAAAAAAAGTCAAACAATGTGCCGCCTTTGTTATTTTTCCTCGCTATAGAAACGTAGTAGTGAAAGGAAAATAGAAGCCGCCTGTTATCGTCATGTCTGACAAAAATCGCGTTTAAAATATGCGGTCAAGGATTGCTTACTTAAACTAAATCCTCAATATCTAGTGGGTGAACGTACGTTTGTCGTTATACTTTCGCAAAGGGTGGAGAGAGGGGGAAGGGACGAGCCCAAGAACGCGCTCAGTGTTAAAACATAGACGCTCTGCAGTCTCATAAATTCGCACAAAGGCTGATGCCGAAACGAATTTGAAAAACTGTTCGAGCTTTCATCACATCAAATGCAGAACCAAAAACGTACAATTTCACAGACAGATTTGTTCACTATGCTAAGGAGATTGTCTTCTAATACGTTAGCTACACGGGCACCTTAACCATAATCCCAGTTACCCTTCCAACATTAACCGCAGTTAAGTCTGACTGATGCGACTCCAGTTAGGGGTGTCCGTGTAACTTACTTGGGTATAATAGTGTCTTTTATATCCTTTTTGAGCAACTTCACGCCAATCGTTTTTAAACATAGTCAACTGTAAAACCAAACCTGCTTGACTTTTCTGCCTCGTTTACCGATACACGTTGAACGCATATCACAAGAAATAACGTAACGTGCCTCGAACATTCAGACCTGTAGTGGCATGCATCGATTAATACGAAAGTTTCACGATTTCTTGGAAAAGCGAAGGGACCCTGTTCTTGTCAGACATTGTACCGTATTGTTTACTAGAAATGCCTGAAATGTCTGAAGAGGACGCGATAACTCCTCAGCCAGCCCCCCCCCCCCCCCCCCCCCCCCCTCCCCCACCCCTTGCCCGCTATCAGATTACAGCGTGTCGGAGGTACATTTTGTTAATTACTCTTATCGACGTTCGCCTTGGATGATAAATATCAAACATGCACGTATCAATATCTGTGAAATTGTCAAATGCATTGTCTGGGAGGCGAAGGCAGGTTGATAAAAAGAATACGTTGTTTCAGTACGATTGCGGGCGGTAACCTTCTCAGTCTATTGAAAAACTGAACAAGCCCATTAGTATTCTTCAACTTCTGTAGCAATAACATAATGAATACTCGCCTTAACGGACAGCATCATCAGAGCTGAATTTGATGAAGATGACTGTGTGGAAGCGTTGCTATCTTGCGCCGTGTTCAGAAGCCTCCGTTGACTGCGGCATTTTTGTTTTACTGCTTCGCTTCATCCGACTGTTTATGGGTTCTTTGTGTTCAAGCTCCAGCAGGTGCGATAAAGTGAATTGCTGGTCGCCGAGAGATAAATCCGATTTGTTTGCCCGTTTTGTTTAGGATCGGGCTTTTAGGTCGCGTGAGAAACGGGGTTTCGAGGACGAGATAAATTATTAACCTTAGTCATTTTAGTCACCATCTTAGTCATACGTTATGTTTCACGAATGTAGAGAGATCAATTTCTTAACTAGTTGCTTGGTACATCTACCCAATTATCATACTGGACTCTTAAAATCTAACGCCCAGTTTACTTGCTGCGAACAGGTGCAGGAAACGTGTCCTGACACGTTAAGGAGTAACGCCATTTGGTTCTTTTTGGTGAACGCGTACAACAGCAACCTTGTCTTGCTCCTCAGCTCGATATATATTTGAGTTTCGATCCTTACGTGCCCCTATGACCAGTGGCCAAAGACACTTCCACGAAGTATGACAAAGTGTGACCGCGCTTATTTATGAACATGTCAACTCAATCCGAGTGCTCCCAACAATAGATGACTCTAGTAGGGTGTCTGGAACGCGTCTTCGACTGGCGTGTTTACCGCGCTCAAAGGGGTGGCCTCGATTTCCGCCTGACAACATCAGAGACATGTCATTTCGCCGGACGCAATCCTGGTGTGCAGGATCGGACACTGGACATATGCAGACGAGGACAAGTTCCAGGCGCTCTACCTTCAGGCTTGATGAAGGACTAAATTTCACGATCTCTGTGTGCTTGACCTTTGAACACCCTTCTCGTTTCTGGTTCCGGATCTCCAATCTCGACTTTCACCTCAGCCATCAGCTTTCGTAACCTAAAAAGTAACATTAAAAAGTTTGGCTTTGCTTTTTAGAGGGGTAAATTGCTGAGTTTATGTCGCGTCAAGCCGTAGCGACCTCGTTTACTATATATTGCCGCGCGCAGGGCCAAGCACGGTGTAGCGGTCGTGGGACCATTGCGGCGTAGCTCAGCGTTGGTTTCTCGGGAGCTGGCACGTCGGTGAAAGCCTCCGGCTGGAAAGCTCGTTTTAACTCTTCACAAACTACTTCGACGATCGAGAGTGAATCAGAGCAGTTAGGAGCTGGAAGTAGCTTCTTATGCTCGTCCTAGACGACGTCGCAGATGATCTGGCGAAGGTGTTCAATACCGTCATCGTCGACGTCAAAGCTATAGATGTTGAGAAGGCGGAAACAGTCGATGCACAGCGCTCGCTCGATGTTGGTTTCCTCGGTCACAAATTCTTCAACGGTCGTCGAGGTCTTGTGAAGAAGTCCGCCAAGGATTTCGCACTTCACGCCTTTCATGAGAAAGCACCACTTTTTCTCTTCAGTGGCTTGTGGGTCGGCGCGTGCACTTACACGTAGCAAGTCTTCAACGAAGCTGGTTACGCTTTCGTTGGGGGCCTGAATCCGTGTTTGAAGCAGATCTTCCTGCTGCTGTCGTCGGTGTTGGCTCGTAAAGGTCCGATTCATCTCGGCGACGTACATGTCCCATGAAGTAAACGAGGCCTCGTGGTTCTCGAACCAGTGCCACGCAGTACCATCCAGCGCCAAGTAGAGGTTCTACAAGTACTGCTCCACGGTCCATCCGTTGTGGCGTGCCACGCGCTCGTAGTGTTGGATCCAGTCCTCGAAGTCCTCGTGGATCTCGTCGTGGAAGGACGTCTGCGTACGAGGGGTGACGGGCAGGTAAACGACGGGGGAGGCAGCGGCGGGAGTCTCAGTTTGCAGGCCCCGTGAGGCCATAGCGGGTTTCGTCGACTTCGTCCTCTGGGTGGTCCGGTAGAAGTCCAAATTCCGGGGGCTGACTTTTGGCGTGGCGGCTTCCTCGGGTCTTGGTAGTCTCCTTGAACAGTCTTCTTGCGCAGGAAAAAGCAGCACCGAGCAAGCAACGCTCGGTCCTGCGTTCAACAATATTATAAAATGTAACAAAAAAAAAAAAAAAAAAAAAAACGAAACAGAGTTTTCTTTTTTTTTTAAATTAAAGTGCACGCGTTCAGTACTTAGTATCAGTATAACACTGATTGTTTTAACATCGAGTAGGCTTAGACCGACGGAAACTGCATGCTGAAGTTTACGACGGCTCTTTCGACTTGCAAGGTCGGAAAGGTGGAAAACTTCAAGGAGCGCTGCCAACACCTCTCAAACAAGGTCGGCGCTTCCTTCGGCTGGTGGTGACGCCTGGCGCTGCCGTGTTAGATTAATTGTTTTGCTATAGTTGCCAGGAGGTTATCCTGATAGTCCTAATATTCACTTCTGGCGTCTTAAAAAACAAAAAAACACACACACACAGGGATATGCTAATTAGTTGAATTCTTTTATAAAAACATAATTTGATCATGAATCCCAACACCCTTCTCACTGGCTGAACATATCAAATGAGGGCCAGTGATTGGTTGTTTCAGTGCAGGGCGGTGTGGCATACCTTCAGGGTTTAGGAGTGCCTGGTAATCACTTGCGTTGCTCTTGTGGCCAGCTATAAAAGCATAGCAGACCGCGATTACACAGCTTCGCATCGGAGACGAGCGCACTTCGATGAGTTCAGCAGATGTTCAATTCACGAAGGTAGCACTGGAGACGTAGGTAACAGCCAAAAAACACAAGGGAAGGAAATCTACTCAAATGCCAAACAAACAGTCGCGGCTAGTTCCGGTGTAACTCCCGTAACAGAAAAGAATACTCATTTGCCGATAAAGGCAGTGACCTGTTACTTATTCACGTATCTCGCCTTGCTTTGATTTCGAAACCTTCATAAAGCTCTCTAGAAATTTTATCTCGGTACCTAGCCAAAAACCTGCTGTCACTAAATGACGGGGCGTATGGGCAACGACTGCAGTGAGTGGCAAGGTGCCCCAACGGGGTAGCTTGCTCGGCCCCTGCGTGCTCGCGCGCACGATCATTGGAGCACCTGCCTGTCTGGCCGATATAACGTGATCCACATGAAATGGGTTTTTCATTCACTACTTCCATGGTGCATTCTGTGTATTTGGTGCGGTGCCTGGTTTTGCGAAGATATGTAAAATCACTGGGATCGTTAATCCTACGGCACAGCCGCGATAGCTTATTGGTTGTAGTGGAAACCACGGGTACATTATACCGAGCGGCCACCTTCTTAAGATTATGCATGACGCGTGGTGAGGAAACGACGGAGGTCTTAGCGGAGGAGGGTTGACGATAATTTTGCAGGTCTGAGATGCGGTGAGGCAAGGGTCCAGTTCCTGCTGATGAAATTTCGTGACCGAGGAAGTTGACAATGGGGGCGCCAAGTGTGCTCGTTTGGATATTGACGAGCAGGCCGGGGTCATCAAGTCGTTGGAAGAGTAGGCGAAGGTGCCTGTGGTGGTCTTCGGCGTTTTGGGAGAAGATTAATATATCGTCAAGGTAGACGAAACAGAAGTCGAGACCGCGGACGACTTTGTCGATGAAACTTTGAAAGGCTTGTCCTGCGTTCCTCAGGCCAAAGCTCATGAAGGGAAACTCGAACAAGCGCAAAGGGTGTAATGATCGCGGTTTTGGAGATGTCATCTGGGTGTACGGGTGTCTGCGTGTAGGCCTTCACCACATTTAGCACGGAGAAGACGTGTTAGCCATGGACACGGTGGGCGAAGTCCTGTATGTGATGAATGAGGTATCTGTCGGGGATGGTGCGAGCGTTGAGGGCGCGGTAATCCCCGCAAGGTCGCCAGCGTTCAGTCTTCTTCGGGACAAGATGGAGCCGCGAGGTCCATGGGCTGTCGGATCGGCGG